AAGCAAAACATGAGACCCTGTTTTCCTTTATGGAATATTTGTTTCTGGTTGTACAGCAATCTTCGAGGAACTATAAGCATTTAAAGTGATGAGGGATAAAAAAGGGTATCTTTACTTTAAATAAAGATGTAAAAAGGTATACAGAGAGAAACAGTGTTCATAAACTGAGATACAAATATTGAATACTAAAGACAAATAGAGGGAATCTTCTTTTAGGTTAGTGAATGTGGGGAGAATTCAGTTAGTAAAGAATGCCCAATCACAAGCCAAGAAAATCTAAAAAACTGTATTTTAGTGTGCACATATTGCATGATGAGATTCAGCAGAGCTTCACCTTTTAGGGGTCAATTCACTAAAGGTTACGCATGTGATAACACTGTCATGTGACTCATTTGCATAAATTATCAATGGTATCAAAATGTCCAATTCACAAAAGAAATTTGACAATTCTGCGAAATTTAATGCAAAATTTGAAATGTGTTGGTAAATACCGCCAAAAAAAATGCGGTAAGCTGTTAAGTTCAATTCACAAACAGAACAGAAAGTACAAAAAGATGCAACATTTATCACCAGGGTTTTGCTGACGGTATGACATGCGTTATTTTCTCAGATGCAGTAAGGTGGTCCCTGCCCAACCCCTAGGGATCTGGTATGGGTATTTAGGGGAACCTCACGCCAAAATTAAAAAATAAAATGGCGTGGGGTCCCCCTCCTAATCCATACCAGACCCCAAATCCCTTAGGATTGTGAGGGCACCCGCGTGCCATTTTTTTCTTTGTATATTTTGATGTGGGGTTCCCCCAAAATCCATACTAGACCTAAGGGCCATTTTTTTTTTTTAATTTTGGTGTGGTGTTTTCCTTAAAATCCATATCAGACCCAAAGGGCCTGGTAAGGATGAGGGGGAGCCCCATACTGTCTTTTTCATCATTTGTATTTGCTGGCTTGTTTTGTTTAAATTCAGCTGTATGTGGGACACCCGCTGACAGTTGATGAGTCATCCATAGGTAAAGACGCCGCGGCCAGCTCCCTTAACAACCAGCTACCGTGTGGTAAATTACCATATGAAAATATGCGGTAATTACTGCAATATATCTATTTTACCACAAGAGTTATTTGCCGCCAAATTCTTAGTGAATTGCACATTTGCAAAAAATTTACCGCATGCGTTATTTTACAGCATTTTTTCAGGTATTATTTAACTCTTAGTGAATTGACCCCTTAGTAAGCAAAGGAAAAAATCCCTTACAAAGTGAAAATCCGCAATTTGCTAAGTGAACTGCCTATTTGCCTATTTGATAGGTCAACCCCATACATACTCATCTACAAGCAATCAACCATAAATGATCTATTTGCCCTAGTTTATGTATATAATAAATCTTATACACAATTTTTACGTAACTTAAAATTAGAGACTTTAGCCAGTTTTGATGGTTGATGCATGTTTCTGCGATAGTCAAGATGGAGTTTTTGCTTGATCATCACATGGTGATTGCTGCTCCCTGTCTTTACATTGTCTCAACAAAAGCCACATAATCACGTAACTCCATCCTGCACCCCACTCCCTGCCAACATCACTTTTTGTTTAATCAGCCTTTTCATACCACATAGGCAAGTCGGTTAGTGTTTAACCCCTTGGCACCGGCACCTCCCGGCCCTTTAAGGGGTTTCTGATGCCAGGGGGCGGGGCAGGTTTATGATCATGTGAATGCCGAGATTGGCTGTCACAGCGGTCACATTAGAGGAAAACTCCCAAGTAGAGATTGGAAGCTTTCCGTTAGCCGCTGGTGCGTGTGCAGGGCGCTCCAACTCAGCACAGTTCTGTTTACATGTTGGTACGCATATGCAACCTTTCGGCCTATAAGGCCCACACGCCTAGAGGCTGCATATATACCTATCGCCGGCATCAGCAGGTTACATAGAGGAAGCCCAGTTACTGATCAATTGAAACTCATTGAAAAATGCAATTAAACCTTTAACGTTCATATGGTAGCTAAACATGATATTCCACATTTCCTATAAAACACAGACCCATCCACAGCTTGCTGTTTTCATGATAAAGTAGCAGTAGCACAACAGTTAAGTCATCTACACATCTAACCCTCCTGTAGGCATGGGTATATACAAATAACATTGACCGGGATAAGTTTGATGAGCTTTGTGCAGGTTTTGACTTTCAGAAGGTTTAAACATTGAAAATAATTTCTGGCCACTTTGCTGGCAGAGGAGAACGGGGAAGGTCAGTGTTACCTATAACGCTGCCACCTCCTCTTCACTCCCCCTCTAGGTTAGGGTCCCTCAAGGTTCTGTCCTCAGGCCCCTTCTCTTCTCCATCTACACCTCCTCCATTGGCCAATTGATACACTCTCACGGCTTCAACTACCATCTCTATGCCAACTACACACAAATCTATCTCTCTACCCCTCGCCTCACCCCTTCAGTCTCCGCCCGTATCACAAGCCTACTGAGCGACATATCGGATTGGATGTCACTCCACTTCCTCAAACTAAATCTTTCCAAAACTGAGCTCCTAGTTTTCCCCCCAGCCCGTGTCCCCCCTGACTTCTCCATCAAGACCAACAACACCATCATCAGTCCCTCCCCTCAAGCCAGAGTACTAGGTGTCATCCTAGACTCCAATCTGTCCTTCCAGCCCCAGGTCCATTAGCTGACAAACGCATGTAGACTTCACTTCCGCAACATCTCCAAGATACGACCGTTCCTAACCTCGGAAACCGCTAAGCAACTCATTCACTCCCTTATTATATCACGATTTGACTACTGTAACTCCCTCCTCACTGGCCTACCTCACCGCAGGCTATCCCCGCTTCAGTCTATCTTGAATGCTGCGGCCGGACTAACCCACCTTACTAACCGCTCTGTATCTGCTACCCCCCTCTGCCAATCCCTCCACTGGCTTCCGATCGCCCAACGGATAAAATTCAGAATGCTAACATTGACAGATAAAGCTGTTCATAATACTGCCCCAAACTACATCACCGATCTGGTATTCAAATACCACCCAAAACGTACTCTCCGCTCCTCACAAGACCTCCTACTCTCTAGTTCCCTGGTCTCCTCCACCCATGCCCGTCTCCGGGACTTCTCCAGGGCTTCCCTCATCCTCTGGAACTCCCTACCCCAATCCATCAGACTATCACCTACTCTCCTCATCTTTAGGCGCACTCTGAAAACCTATCTCTTCAGGGAAGCCTACCCCGCCCTCAGCTAATTACTGACCTCCTCCACTCTTTCTACCACTCCATCCCCCACAGCTATTTCCTCCTCTACCACTATCCCCTCCCTCCTAGATTGTAAGCTCCAAGGAGCAGGGCCCTCGAGCCCCTCTTGTATTGAATTGTATTGTTACTGTACTGTCTCGTATACTGTCTCCCCTTATAATGTACAGCGCTGAGCAAACTGTTGGCGCTATATAAATCCTGTATAATAATAATAATAAGTACAGACACCATGCCCAGTGCAACAATCCTCGTCAAAGTACAAGCTGGCCTTAAAGTCAAAGTCTTGGCCTGCTATTTAGAAGAGGTTAATGAAATGTAGAATGAATAGCTTCCAGCTAGCTTGCTTCTGTGTCATTAAAAAAAGTTCCACCTCTAACAGCCTGTAAATATCTGGCTACCTCTAAAAAAAAAAAAAAGGATTTTTTTTGTACGGCAAGTCTGACCATGCTTATGATGTGACTCAGCAGTATCTTATGCATGGCACCCAACTGTCCTTGATTTCAAGGGACTGTCCCTGATTTGGAACAAAGTCCCTCTGTCCCTCTTTCCTCCTCATTTGTCCCTCATTTTGGACTGATCTATATAGTTGTATATAAAATGCACTATTTATCTTTCAAAAAATGTTTAACTGTGCTAAACCTTTCATTCAGTTTCTAAATTGTTGCAGTTGTACATTTCAAAAGCTATTATAAAGATATAGGAGTGGTAAAAAAAAAAGCACTTGTGGGTTTAATGAATATTATTTTTGTATAATTCTCCATTAAGGGGGCGTGGCATGGGTGTGTGTCCTATGCCTACATACTTGTTCCCATCTGAAAAAGTTGGGGGGTATGTCTTATGTATTTACACCAGCAAGAGCTGAAAAGACATTATTAGCTGACATTTATCCTTAGGAGACTTATTTTAAAATTAAAAGAACCCTTTGATAAAAACAAGTATGCCTTGGGTCAACAGCATTTTCAAAATGATAAAAAAAATCCTCAAATTATACAATCAATCATTTTAATTAGTATTTACCAGTCTCCATTTTTAGTTGAAGAGTAATGTAAATTTGTGAAGGTTCTTTTTTATCCAGGTCATGGTATAGATAGTAATAGTCACATTTAACTGGACTTGTTCTGTGATGTTGAAGACATTTGTAGCTTCTTCAGTTCGAATGAGTGTCAAAGAGTATCCCAACATTTGTATCCACCCTGGGTAATGCAATCTAAATCTGAATTTACAAGGTAGAAGCCAAACAAGTTTTCTTTACTCATCTAAAAGGGAACATTTTGGATTCAAACTCTGGCCATAATTTTCACAGAAACATACATTGAGCACCTGTAGTTGGCAACTCTCTTAATCCTGGTTTTTGTTGGGATGCCTATTATTTGAATGTCCCTGAGAGCAGGCTTGTGAACATGGAACCACTTGTTTCCTTGTTCAATGCACCAGCCTTTGTAGCCCACAAAGGTTATATACTCATACAGCACATAATGATATGGCAAGAACCATATTGGCCAGCATCATTTTCATAAAAAAGAACTCAAAGGAAGAATAACTGGTGTCATTTCCGGGCAAGCAAACCAATCAATCAAAGCACAAAATGATAATTTTTACAAAGATAGTTGACTGCTTCAATCCAGTCAACTTTTGTTCATTTAAATGTATTAAAGATTCAGATTTAATGGTTGTTTGGGTTAAAATGGAAAGTGCTTTACACCACGGCATCCGACACTTTGCATTGCACTTGGTAATGTAAGGCTTGGATGCACTTGCTTGGCCATGGAATCCCATTCCATGAAGCTCTCTATGCACTTTTGTGCTAATCTGAAGGCCTCATGAAATTTGGAAGTTTTTAGCTATTGACTTTGCAGACAGTTGGCAACTTCTGCACATTGAGCGCTTCAGCAGCATGTGCTGACCCCGCTCTGTCATTTTACATGGCCTACCACTTTGTGGCTGAGTTACTGTTGTTCCCAGTTGCTTCCACTTTGTTATAATACCACTAACAGTTGACCGTGGAATATTTAGTAGCAAGGAAATTTCATGGATGGACTTATTGCACAGGTGGCAACCTATTACGGTACCATGCTTGAATCCACTGAGCTCCTGAGAGCGACCCATTCTTTCACAAATGTTTGTAGAAGCAGTCTGCATGCCTAGGTGCTTGATTTTATACACCTGTGGCCATGGAGGTGATTGGAACACCTGAATCCAATGATTTGGAGGGCTGGCCCAATACTTTTGGCAATATAGTGTATGTGCACTTTATCTGTGTATTTCGCTGTCTGCCTGGAGCCCAGATTCAGGCTGATTTTATTCACTTGCATAACTTAAAAAGATTATTAATTGTGGCTGCTGTGGAAATAAAGAAGCAAGTTTGTGGGCTCGTATTGCAGACCTTGAAATAAGTCACTTCTTGCTGCTAAAGGAGGAAGGAAAATCTGATTTATCACTGGCACTACTGAGCAGTTTGTTAGCATAATGATGAACTATAAGAGCAATGGATGTAAAATCTTCAGTCTTGTCCCTTTGTAATGCCATATGCAAATGAGCCAGTTCATGTTTTTTATGTTTCATGGAAGAGGCAGGCACATTTGTCTTTTCTGTCTCTGCTGTATTCAACGGCTCCTGTAAAGTTTCAGATCATTGTGGAGTTTCCGATGCTAATGTCCTTGCTAAGTAGAAACTGTTGTAAATCTGCATCGCTGTGCTAGAAAATGTATTTAAACAAGCTCATAAAAAAGAACTGGTTACAACTGGGATTATGCAAGAATCTGAATTTTTTATATGAACATAGAGTATATTTGCACTGTATTTATGCCTCGTACACACGATGAGAATATCGGACGAATGATCATATGGTTTTTGTTGCGTGCTAATCTCATATCGAAAATGAATAGATTACTAATGTTATGAAAATTCTCATAAAACAGAATACAATGTCCAGCAATGATGTAATGTAATGTATTGTATTGTAATGTATTATTTCGTTTTCGAGCTTGTGCCACTCCAGACTTTGGGGTGAATCCCACCTTTAAAGTCTGGATCTTTCCCCAGCCTGGAGCAGCTGAGCGATGTTAGCCAACAGTAGACTTCAGCCTGCTGTCAGCTGAAAACGGGTCACAGGAGAGCAGAACGAACTGCACTCCTGTGATCCACAGGAGAAGTACAGCCAAATGAGCTTTGGCTGTACTTCTCCTTTAACTACTCTTTTTGTGTGCTGACAGTTTACTGATCTACTGGTGTTTGTAGCTTAGATGAGAGTCTACCAGTTCTACCAATTTGTCCATGTTCTATTAACTATGAGTTACCTGAGACACCAATGGCAAGGGTGCAAGAGGTGCTATTTGGAGAACCTTGTTTTATTACTTCATAATAGGCCATGTCTGCCCCTCTCTATAGGTCTAAATACTAATATCTGTGCAACCATTTTCAGCTGCTGGAGGTTAGATCTTGGTCTGCCTGCCCGTTATTGTCTATAGCCTGGTTAAAGTGAATCTGTGGCCAGGCTTTGGATATTCGAACATTTACGTATTATTAACAAGCAATAAATGTTAACAATGTAGGTATTGAACTCCTTCTCTTACGAGCTGCAGATTTACTGGTATGTAGGAGGAGCAGGGTGAGCAAAACTACTGATAGAACATCTTAGATGGCTTCATGGGAGGGGGGGGGGTGATTTTGATGATGATCTTCTGCTTTGTGTATGGGTGTTCTGTAAATCTTTGTGCACTGTATATAGATATCAAACCATAAGACAGGAAATTGGCCACCTGTAGAAAAATGTTACTACCCATTATACCATTTTACACCCTATTCACACTTGTGGGACTTGTCATGTGACAAGTCATACCCATGTTTTGCAATGATAATCATTCATATATGTGCGACTTCAAGGTAGTTCATGCACTACTAGGGTCTAGGGTTGTCAGTGCAGTACCCCAAGGTTCAGTGTTGGGACCCTTACTTTTTAATATATTTATGAACAATATAGGGTGTGGGATTATAAATACCATTTCAGTCTTTGCAGATGACACCAAGCTGTGCAGTGGAATAACGTCCTTACAGGATGTCTCCAACTTACAAGCCGACCTCAATGCACTCTTTAATTGGGCAACCATGTGGCAAATGAAGTTTAATGTTGATAAATGTAAGGTTCGGCACTTGGGGCTAAGAATATGCATGCATCATACATACTAGGGGGGGTACAACTGGGGGAATCAATGGTGGAGAAGGATCTGGGAGTTCTGGTAGATCACAAGCTTAATAATGGCATGCAATCCCAAACTGCAGGTTTTAAAGCGAGCAAAATCCTCTCTTGTATTAAAAGAGGTATAGACTCCAAAGAGAGAGATATAATTTTACCCTGGTACAAATCATTAGTAAGATCTCCTCTGGAATATGCAGTTCAGTTTTGGGCACCAATTCACAAAACGAACATTGGGGAACTGGAGAAAGTACAGAGAAGGGCAACCAAACTGATAAGAGGCATGGAGGAGCTCAGCTATGAGGAAAGATTAGAGGAACTGAATTTATTCTCTCTTGAGAAGAGGAGATCAACATGTATAAATACATCAGTGGTTCATATAGTGAACTCGGTGTAGAGTTATTCACCCTGAGATCATTGGGAACAAGGAGGCACTCTTTATGTCTGGAGGAAAAGAAATTTATTCTCCAAACACGGAAAGGTTTCTTCACAGTGAAAGCTGTGAAAATGTGGAATAGACTCCCTCAAGAATTGGTTCTGGCCAGCTCAGTGGATTGCTTTAAAAAAGGCCTGGATTCTATCCTAGATACACAGAATATAACTGGTTACTAACATTTATAGTTAAAGTTGATCCAGAGATATCCTCTAGGGGGATCAGGAAGGAATTTTTCCCCTGCAGGAGCAAAGTGGATCATACTTTGCTGGATTTTTTTGCCTTCCTCTGGATCAACTGTGGGTGTAGGATTATAACTTTTTTTTTTTTTTACTGGTTGAACTGGATGGACTTTTGTCTTTTTTTCAGCCAGACTAACTATGTAACTACTTTGGTCCGACTTTCATGTAACTTGGGGGCCATCGACTTCATTGTGAACCCTAAAAAGTTGCATAAAATTTGTAGCTGAATGTTTTACATGCAACAGTGTGCCTGAGTTTGCAGAGGGACCACAAGTCACATCCAAGTTGTGTCAAAGTTGCATCAAAGTTGCACCAAACTTGCTCTCCAGAGTCTTTAAATAAATAATGTACTAATTTGAATATTATGAATAACCCTGAAATTATGTGACCTTTATAATGAAGCATTTATTTACAATTAGAATTAATATTATTCTCTGCACAGCATTGGATCCTGAAACAGTAAAATGCTAAGAAATGTATAGCCCAAGTTCCCTGTGCTGTGATACAGTATGTTCCCTTGTAAGAAACAGGCACTTACAAAATTCATATGCAAGTCCTACCATTTGTCTGATCTTTCTTCCTCTACCTTTCCCACTCCATTATCAGTACTTTTAGCCTAGTGGTATAAGTGGTAAAACCTCTCTAGATGTTTGTCATAAGTCTTCTGTATTACAAAAACTACGATTGATCTGAACTGATCAGAGCTTCTCAGTAAGAGAGATGTCAAGAGTCAATTGTCAGTTTACAGGGAAGATCTAATGTCAGTATCACAGATGGAATTTTTCTACAGCTCTCTGTCTGCTCTTACCTAGTTGGCAAAAATTACAGAACTCTAACTGCTGAAGAATTCCATTATCACTGCTCAATCACATGTTTAAAGTGATACATTCTAATTTCAGTGATATGGTGCACACTCTCTTTTTTAAGTGAAATCTACAAAATGTGTCCCTTTTGGAAGACTCTAGTGATAAAAAAAGGATCCATCGCTTTTACAATAGAATATTAATCAGTTATTGTAATCAGGGTTGTGAAAACTTTCTATTAATCAAAAATGACTGTCTGAAAAACGTGGCTCACTTGCATAGCTGGATGTGAAGAAATACCCAGTACATTTAGATATCAGGGAACATGTGACAATCACCTTGTTTCCTCACAATCGAGCAATTGGTGATTTAAGTGTCCAATCACCAGGTCCAAGCATTGTCACAAGGGAAAGGCGGACATATGCACAGACTAAGTCAAAGCGCATTTAGGAATTTTAGGAGCTCTGCCAACAGATTTGGGTGACATAAGAGAAAGTGGTGGGTTAGCAAGCCCTCTTAAAGCTTTTTAGTTTTGGATAGAATAGAGTGGAGTTAACCTGCTGAAAATTTTTTTATTGCTCTCTTATGTCCCCACTGGGGAGATTCGCCTTTTCTCATTGTCGTTAAACCCTTTATCGAGACAGAACTGAAGGGTCAGAAAAAGTAAAGAAGCTTCTTTGGGACGTGATCACACATTTTTGGTCCCAAAAGACTTCAGTGGGAGTGGCTGAAAAATAAGTAAAAGTAGCGCACATTTTTCCTACAAATCGTTGCCTAATAACTGTCCCTTCCTCTTAGTAACTAGCTTTCCATTGGTAAAAAACAAAACGCAAAAAATGTCTTAAGATTTCCTATGCTCAAATATATATGTAGCCTTAGCCATATGTACTTGTAGTTTAAGTAACAAGCTGTGTGAACTGGCAGCTTTTATGTTTACAGATAATTTGGACTTTGTTGCTTTTACAGACAGAAGGTTTAGAGATTCAAATGACTGGGAAATAACTGTTGTATAGACTCTACAAGAAAGACAGAGTAGGGAAGAGCGGAGGCGAAGTTGACACTTATGTAAAATAAAGCATAAAGCTAACATAAAAAAACCCGAATGGACTATTTGGGATCTGCCTACAAACTAGATAGAGTTCTTCCCTTAGAATTGATGCAGTATACAGACACCGAGGACAGTCTGAGGATTATGAAATCCTGTTGATTCATGGGATAATTCAAATGACAATGAAGAGAGAATTGTTATTTATGGGTGACTTTACATGCTGGGCATGAACTGGAATTATCAAACTGCCCTTACAAGCAGTAGCAGAGATATGTTGGAGGCAATGAAAGTGGTTTGTCTAAACCAGTTAGTAAAAAGCCCCACCAGAGGAGATCATATTCTAGACCTAGTACTGACTCATGAGGATCGATTGTCTGATCTTGAGGTGAGAGAGATCACCAATGTCTTTAGTTTGATATTA